CGGGAAATACAAAGAGATATCAAGCGCTACGGAAGGAAGTTCATGGACCACCTGGCAAGGAAAGCAGAAACAGCAACAGAGCAACAGAGCAAAGCAACAATATTGTACTCAACACTAAGAACTATTGAATATTAAAATAGATGGATTCCAAAGTAGGCTGGGGTAAAAATTTGATTTGTTTAAAAACTGCTAATTTCTCAAAAAAGCTCGGCCTAGATATTATCATTGCTTCAGACTTCGGCTCGTGGGCGGGTATTCTGTTTGCTGTGCACCATGATTGGAACTAAAATCTTCATCGATGCAGTCTGGTCGTTCTTCACTGATTTTGTTTCGACTCTTTTCCAGCGCTACTACCTCAGCGATCGACTCTCCAACGTTACAAACCTGATCGACTCCCTCTTCGACCTTGGATGCCAGCCCGGAGGATCCCTGACGAGCCTTCAAGTTTTTCCTTGCTAACTTCAGAATATTGCATTATGGAGGACTACGATGATTCTACTGAAGATATTGAGAGCGAAACAATCTAAAGCCATGGCGTTCCTTGGAAGAGCTTTCCCTCAGGTTGAATGTGGATAAACCACGTCCCACCAAATGGTTAGCTAAACTCCCTAGCCACTGTCTTGGCGAGCAACCCATCATACAGTGTACTCATAATTTCCTTCGCATTTTAAAACCGGACCCAGGGATGAGTATTCAACAGCAACAAACAGTTGTGCGACTAGAGTATCAGATATGTAACTTTCCATCAACAGTCAATGACCGGCTACAGAGAAATTTTTGTAACGGGCCCCATTGACACCTTCAAGCACTTTCTGAGCTACCTCATTTCTCGGGAGAATCTGCCTTCCCTAACCTAACAAGTCATTAGTAAGACTCGTGACTTTGAAGCTGGCCTGAAAACTGAATCAGCTATCAGTAAACGACAGCTTGAGGAATCAGCTCACCTGGTCACACCCCAGCGCCATAAATGAGGACGCACCTGACGTAGCACACAAGATCACACCCAGTGATGTCAAATCCAGAACTCGTCGTCACCCCTTCAAACAGCAAGGGCTCTCAGCTTCACAGTATTTGAGTCTTCTACCTGCTTGTGGTGCAGCCGCACACCACATGCTGCACGTCGTGACTGACCTGCAGCCAATGATATCTGCCACGGCATGATATCTGCCACGGGTAACAAAGTTGCCGAGCACTCAATGCCAATGCAGTGTCTGAGCTCGGCAAGGGCTTTGAGCCAAGCTCAAGGGCTTTTGAGCTCAACTCACTCGTCTGCATCAGAGCCCCGTTTCCGATTTCAAGTTGACTCTGTGTTCTTTACCCCAAACAATCACATAAGCGCTTGCGCCGATCAGTAATTTCGGCTCGGAACATCACTCTTTTTCAAAAAGAACTAAGGAGCACGCTTGTTGATTTATTGCTTCATTCTCGCAAGGTTTCATAGAATGGAAATGGTTTATCCCACTAGAAAGCAGAAATTCTGGATTTACTTCGAATCCTTTGGGATATCGCGTTGGACAGACCCATCACAACACAGGCTGAGAATAAATCTACTTTATATGTAATGCTTTTTCGCGGTAATATAGGTACTTTTGTTATTCGGTGAAAAGTTTAGAAAGTAATGCAAATTCCTTTACTTTCACAGTTCTGACGGTTTTCGTTTTCCTTGGGTGAAAGTGCGAATGAGTTTTGGTTTAGTTTTTGTGTCTAAAACAGCTAAATTAATATCATGAAGGTTTTTAATTTCATTTATTTTATCCATTTATTATTTATTATTTCGAGAAAAGAAACGTGTTAGAGGACTCAAACATTGTTGGAAAGTTCAAACCTTCACCAAGAACTTATCCATCTTACAGGAGAACGTTTTGCATTTGAGCTTTCAAAACGTTAAATTCATGTCACATATAAATTGCCCACGAGCAGTGAAAGTGATTCATATCTTCACTGCGCCTTTCAATAACTTGTTGACTTTAAATTTTAGAGCTCAACCGACAAATGCATTTTTCTCTACCGTCAATCACGTTTTCGGCGGCTCCTCCCAGCTTCATAACCAAGTTGTAATGGCAATCCGCATAATCGGAGTACGGCCCTTCCAAATCCATACATACAACACTCCTGGGTTCCTCTGATATATATCAGTGGCCTTCGGGCTCCTGTCAGTGTTGCTTTGTGTTCAGTTCTTTCATACCGTTCATGGTTCAGAACCAGTATTCCTCTCGCAATATTTCAATTTGGTGGTTGGTTTAAGGTGACATGCAGCTTTGATATATTACCTCTGTGGACTTGCGGAAATGAACGAAGTTTTGATATATTCGGCTATGCGCATGGACCAAACCTTCGACGGTTTTTATTTATTTATTTAGTTAGTTTAATTTAGGTATTCTGACACTCAAAGCGGCGCCGGTGGACATTTACTCCTTTAGTTAACATTTTAAATTACAAATGGATCCCTTTCCCACGGTAATTTCTTGTCAAGAACGGATTCATAGCTTTTACTCGAATAGATAGCAGCATGGCTCTCTTTACACATTGGATAATTAACTAGATTTTCACAAAATTATCCCAGTCGCATAGCGACGGAGGCAGTTTTAACAATTTTGAAGCAATTGCTCTAGTTATGTAAAGCAAACTGATCGCATCCTTTGTAGCTTATTCTTCAGTATAGAGAGTAATATTATGAAAGGAAATGAACAGCACGCAGAGGTTAAGATTGGCTTGGCAACGTATCATCAGTCAAATACGCATTATTCGACTATTTTACATCACAGTGAAAAAAAATCCATCGATTTGAAGACATCTTACTTTCAAATCAATTTATACTTGATCAGAATCGCCACGTTTTTTAGCTGTTGTATATACCACACGCCGCGTTTTTCTCTTTGGCTTATTTTTTATTTTCATTTTTTTTTTATCTAAGAGGAAATAGTCTTCAATAATACGAGAGGATATACATCTTAAAAACTAAAAGTAAGTGCAAGTGTGGCCGATCGGATATTAGAGTCAAAGGACAATCATCCCAAAAGCCTGACGGTGAGGCCTGCGCTCTTTAACTTAGCAAGATACGATCATGTATTTTTTTAAATTTGTATTTGTATTTCTATTTGAGAATTTAGAAGCATTTCTAGTCAACACATTTTACTCTCACAGTGCTGCTTCATCACCGTATGTTATTTCTCCGCACATCTTTACTTATCATAATAAATTGACGTACACATCATAGACCTGTTGACGAATGCGAATACCGTTCCCTTTTCCCGTCGAGGAAAACACTGAAACAAACCGGAAAACTAATGGCTATATTTGCGCTTTCTTATTACACGTAGTGGCCAGTGGATGTGATGCTAACAATGAAGTTGACTAGTCACAGCATAATTTGGCTCATCCTGCTAGGTTTGGGGATCGCATTATTTTGGATGAATTATTTCACGTTGCCCCGTAGCAGGAACGATTTCTCTGCCATCGACCAGCGAAATGATTTAGGTAAGTTTTAAAAGAAACATAAACTGGTATTTCAGTGTTAGTGATGCTTTTAGTACACGCCATAATTTTCTCTCTCTTTCATGTTTATCTATGCCATTCTTTCTCAATGGAATTAAAATCGTGCGGCCTATCGCTGGCTAAACAAGATCCTTTGTTATTATGCACGAGTCTAAGTAAAACATGCAGAGGAGACAGAACTAAACGCGACCGGAAGAGTCCAGCGGCACAATGATGTTTGCCGCTAATTCATGGACTATTCTTCAACCCACGATTACATAAGAGAGCCATGGAGTTACGGGTTTCCCTGGCGGGAAAATCACTCAGGATCCAAGCCTGAGAATCAAGTTAGGTTTTTGCGTTTTTCCTGAAAAAGCGCATAGCCTTCGGATTCCTTAATTTTCAAAGAAAACTGGACGCATTTTTGCCGATGTCATTGCTAACAAATTGCCTGATCATCACCCGATTTAAAGTATAGAGAAGGCATCGAGCTAGAAAAATATCTTACAGGACACCACTTTCAAACAGCTTGTGCAAACGTCAGTACTTTTTTGAAACGTATGAGGCCATATTCCATTCTTTGAAAAAAAAAATAATGTTTACTACACTTGCAACGAGCCAAAGTTTCTTGCGTCAGTTAGTCCTTTGTTAAAGAAGAAAAATTGATTATTTTTAAAGAAAACTGTTTTGGGAAATTCTTGATGGACAAACTCCGTAAACATTTCATTTGCATGTGCTTGGAATAAAATTATCTAAATGAGAACGTTTTCATTAAGGTTCGTAGCTGGTGTTATTTGAAGTGGAATGGTTATCTTTATTTAGGTTTATTGTAATGACCAGGTAAATTGCTAAGATATGTTGTACCTGACCATTTTTACTGGAATAATCTATTCTTAATTTATAATTTATTTATTGTTTTGTTATTAATGTAAAGTTTTATTTTCTTCGATGTAAAAGCACAGCAAACCTTACTTCTTATTGAAGGTTTCAGATGGACAATTTTAGCTCATACTAGACATCGCCTAGTAACACGATAATTAAAAAGAAAAGGTGTTACTCGCGGAACACCGTCTGTAAGTCGGTTTCATTAAAAGAACTTGGCAACACGTACGTTTCTACCGATGGCACCTATGTGTATGGATTCCTGTTATTGAAAAGTTCTACCGACTACTTAAATATTAAAATGTGGAAAAGGCGTAACCAGTAACGCCGCCTTTCTTCTTCAATAAGTAAGCCTGAGTTGTTGTTTGACAACGATTGCACAACAATCTTTATTTGAGTGTTGAGTCTATACATTGCTGTAACGTATATTTTCATTCAATTCTGAAAAGNAGCACGGTAATTAAAAAGAAAAGGTGTTACTCGCAGAAAACCGTTTGGAAGTCGGTTTCATTAAAAGAACTTGGCAACACGTACGTTTGTACTGATGGCACCTATGTGTATGGATTCCTGTTATTGAAAAGTTCTACCGACTACTTAGTATTAAAATGTGGAAAAGGCGTAACCAGCAAGGCCGCCTTTCTTCTTCAATAAGTAAGCCTGAGTTGTTGTTTGACAACGATTGTACAACAATCTTTCTTTGAGTTTTGAGTCTATACATTGCTGTAACGTATATTTTCATTCAATTCTGAAAAGATCATTGCTGTAATTTTTATATTGCTCTCATTGTTTTATTTTGGCCAGACTCTATTGAAATCATAAAGAAAATGTGAAATAAAAAAGATTTCGACTCTGGTATTCGGTCGAAGGAAAATATGGTAATGATTCTCGTGCGCAAGCGTAGTGCCGTTATGCGTGGGCTGTGTAAGTTCTTATGCAAGCCTAGATGTCAGTTTGATACTTGATTGACAAGTGTCGACCAGGTCGGTATAAAAGAACGAGAGCAGAATCTTAAGTTGAGAAGTGTGGTAGCTGTTGAAAGTAATGGAACACCAGGTGTAATGAAGAGGACGTTTTTAACAGAAAAGAACGCGTTTGTCCATATGTAAAGGAGATCGTTTCCCTCCGAAAATTTTCCTTTTACACCTTAAGCCGTATTCCTCAATTGTTCGCATTTCATATATATGAATTATTCATTTTATTGGTCAAATATTTATTTCTGTCTATTAATTTGCTTATTTTCTTTTTCTCAGGGGAAACAGAAGCTGGAGCATAGTTCTTTGTACGATAGCGTTGAAACATTCGTGTTGTTTGTTGGTTATCCTAGAAGTGGCCACAGTCTTATAGCCGCCATTTTGGACTCTCATCCAGATATAATCATCCCAAATGAGCTCCATATCCTGGCAAAGTTTAAAAGCTTTTATAAGGACGCAAATAAGGAAAGTTATAGTCGACGGCGCCGGATTTTTTCTGCGTTGTATTCACGTTCGTACAGTCAATCCATACAAGGAATACGTTCCCCAAACAAAAGACATGGTTATTCCTACTATATTCCGGGAAGCTGGCAAGGAAAATGTAGAAATCAAATAAAGGTAAGTAAAGGTATAGAGCATGCATTTTATTATCTTTACAATTTTTCAACTTAAATTAGTAGAATTAAACAGTTTGGATAGTTTTAGTGGCTTCGCTTTTAGAAGACTTCACCAAACCATCAAAATGGCTCAACGCTAATCAATGAAAAAAAAAAAGTCCTAAAAAAATTCAAAAAAAAAAAAGCAACAACAACAACAACAACTGGTGACCAGTAAAATATACATTTTGCCTATTGGGGCACTAAAAGTCGATACTGGAAAAGCATTTGAATCAAAAAACGGTTGTTATGGATATATAAAGAACTGAGCACATTGGGTGTAGGACATGAGGCAGTCTGACTCAACAACAATATAACCCAAGCAATATGGTGTCCACTAGCTGCAGGTAGCCTCCAGATTCTTAAAAGCGTTATTTCTCGATTTATTTAGTTATTATTATTTTTTTTTTTGCAATAACTGTCCAATTTCTCGCGCGCTGATTAACTCATTTTAATCGTCAATAAGAGTACAGACGGATAAAATTTTACTTTATGCAAGCTTTCAAGTTCAACTTTTAGCTGTCAAACAGCCAACTTTTTAACCAATGAGATTTTATGGACTTTTTTAAGGAGCCAATCAAAAAGCGAGAAAGGTTATTGACAATGTTGGCGTCATTTTGAATAAAATTAACTTATCTTTGTTTACGGCAAGTTTACGGCGTCTTTTCCCCCCATTTATTCCCGGCATTTGACTATTTTGGGGTCTTGTTATTGTAAAAAACAAATAGACGTCATTTTTTTTTATGTGTCTGCCCTCTTATTGATGATAAATTTCGCCATAACATTGTCAAAGTGGCTGTGGAACCACGAGCCGCAGGCGAGTGGTTCTGCTGCTACTTTGACAATGTTGTGACGCAATTTATCATCAATTAGAGGACAGATCAATAAAAAATGACGTTAAATGATGTTCGATGTTTTGTTAAATGATGCATGAGAAAGGCTGATACGATTTAAAAGAAGCAATACCGAAGAAGCTTGAAGAAGCAATAAGTAATTAATTTCAAGAAGCAATTATCCTTGAATTGAGTTATGACAATTTATAACCAAAAAAAAAAAGGGCTGTCTTTAACAATAGGCTGATTTAGCAAGAGAACGGAAACGTCACTTGACGACGGCGCGCGCAGTACAAATACCCAAATATGGTCAAATTAGAACAAGATCCAGGTTATTCCGCGCGCCCAACAGTCGTCATCTGACGTTCCCGTCCTGTTGCTTAATCAGCCTATTATTTCACGAGCGCGCGTTGGATATATAAACAATAGCCTCTATTTGGCGCGGAAATATGCTCGGATATTTGTCCGCGGACATTATCTGTTTCGAGAAGCGCACAGTTTTCCGAGAGCATAGCTCAAGGAAAACCGTGAGCTTGGATGAACAGATAATGTCCAAGGACAAATATCCGAGCAGATTTTTGCGCCAAATGCAGGCTATTGTGTTTATTATCCTTCAAATATTTTTCGCAATATGCGCAGTTTTGAATAGCTGGGAAATATTCGATCAAGTGATGTGTTTGAACCAATCACGTGCGCGCGAAAGTATTTGATGGATTATAAGAGATGATAGATAGTCAACGAGGCGCATAGCGTTGAGTTGGTTATGATCATCTCATATCCAAGAAGCGCGAGTGGAAAAAGTGTTTTATTAAAAATTACCACAAATATATATATA